CATACATGTGCAGGTATCTTTTTTATAGAGTGATTTGAGTTCTTCCAGGTATATTCCCAGTAGGGGGATTGCAGGGTCATCTGGAAGGTCAACTTTTAGGAATCACCACACTGTTTTCCACAGAGACTGTAACAGTTTACAAAGTTCTGAGATTCTTTATACTGCTTGGTTAATTCTGCTTTCCATGCATGTCATCTTGTTATTTATTTCCCGGATGAAATTTTTTATGGCCAAAATCTCTGTTACAAGTTCTTTCAGTGTTGTATCTTCTTGTCTTTTTTGAGTCTTAATCACTCTTTCCATCCTTTCCCTAACCCTGTTATATACTGGGGCCGGTCATTGGCGACTTCCATTGTTTGGGCTCTGAGGTCTGATTTTTTTCAGGCATTTTTTTCTTTGTTACACTAGGAATTACCTGAGTTCTTCTGTTGATTATTCCTCATTTGAGACAGATCTCTTTCTTTTCTTTTTAGTTCTGTTATTTAGTGGCAGTGGGAGAGGCTTTAACTTCTGATGTTTGCTCAGCCCTCTATTTTTCCCTGATCAGGGTTCTGAATTTGTTCTATTTTGAAACGGGGCTATGAGTGGGAAGGTTTGTTGTCTCTTGTAGTCTTGAGAGTTGAATAAGGTGGACAATGGGCAGTGCGATCTCTTTGGGGGTCTTCCTCATCCTCTTCTGGTCACATCCTTTGTCCTATGGCTGAATCAGAATAGGAGATGGGGTTCCTGAGACTCAGCACTCATCCTGTCCCTCTGGAGTTTATGCTTTTTGGATAGTTCCTCTGGGTCACAATCAACTCCTGAGTAGTTAATGCACCGGTCACAGAGATTGGGCATTTTGGTCCATGGTGAGCAAGCCAGAGTTCTTTCCTATCCAGTTTTCAAGATGGTGGAAGGGTGCCTCTTTTGTCTTCTCCAGTGGGGCTCTGTCTCTAGTTCCCTTGCTGTGTTCCCTTTGAAGCCCTTGCTGCCATTACCTGGCCAGGTGCTGCAGTGGTGAAACAGAGCCTGGAGCTGGTAGTCTCTCTTGGCAGTTTCTTCCAGAGAAGGGCTTTGCTGAAATTATGCTCAGCTTCTGCGCCTGGAAAGTGCTAGGGTCTAAGCAGAGCTGCTTCACCAGGAGAGCCCTGGTCACTTGCTCCCAAGTCACCACTCAGTCAGTCATTCACACACCCATTTACTCACAGTCACATATGCAAAATTTTCCATACACTTACTCACTTACACTGGGAATCGCGTAGTCTGACTGGCTCCACTGCCATCTTCCCCAGTTTTTCCAACGACGTAAGTTTTTAAGAAGTCCTATTTACACATAATTTTTTTTTTTTTTTTGAGTTAGAGTCTCACTCTGTCACCACACTGGAGTGCAGTGGCAGCTCCCGGCCACTGCAGTCTCGACCTGCTAGGCTCCGGCAATCCTTCCACCTCAGCCTTCCAAGTAGCTGGAACTATAGGCACGTGCTACCACACCCGGCTAATTTTTGATTTATTATAGAGATGAGGTCTCGCCAAGTTGGCCAGGCGGGTCTCGAACCTGCGGGCTCAGGCAATCCACTGACCTCAGCTTCCCCAAGTGCTGGGATTACAGGCTGAGCCACTGAGCCCGGCTTACATATATTTATTTTTAAAGTTTATATCCCTTTTGTTTGTACACAATCTTATGTAGACATCCAAGGAAATAAGCCTAAGAATTACTATCTTACTGTAATTCAGTGAACAGTACAAAACCTTCTGCCTTTTAACACAAATATAATTCCACAGCATAAAAAGAAGAGACGCTGGTACCTTAAGTAGTGAGTACTGACAGGTGGCTATGACCAGGCAGAACTGGAAGACCCAGATGTCTCTGAAGAAGCCTTGGATGAGAAGAACAGATCCCAAGAAAGCCACAAGAATGGCCAGGATGACAGCTAACACGTTTTCCAGGACCTCACGATTTCTAGAGAGAGAAAAAGTATAAGTAAGTGTATCAGAAATATAAAAAATTAATCAAACTGAAAACCACGAAGACATCGACGTAAAGCTCATAAAACATTGGGATGTCTTTCTGGTACTGGGTTTGAATAAGGTTTTGGATCATACTGGGGGGTAAAAAACCTGGCTTCATGTAGATATTTAACATGAATTTTTATATACAAATAGCAAATGCTACAGTGAATTGTAAAATTTTAATTATGATACATAATATAGTTTTAATTTCTATTTAAAAAAATTGTACTCTCCTTTACATCTGATTTACTGCAGATGCTGAATATCTGCACAAATTGGCTGCAAAATAGCTAACCAACTTGGAACTAAAATAGATATACAAAGAACCAAGTTAAAAGACAAAATCTCAAAATAATTTCTAGCAAACTAAATTTAAAACATTTGTTGTTTAATATGACAAAGTTTGTAACCAAATATTGATACCAAGCGGGTTCATTTTCCCCATCTCTCAGTCATCTAAAATAATTCCAAAACCCACTTACTATAATTATTTAAATACAGGCTCTTATCTATCTTGAGAATGAAGGCAGTGACAAAGACCATCATCTCTGCCTCTATCAAAGTTGCTAAGACAATTCTATACTTTGTTAAACTGACATTGAAAAAGAAAAAATATGATGCCCAAGATATTACATATAGCAGTGAAGATGACTTTATGTCACACACATACATGCACAGACTCTATCTCATTACTTCTTGGGGAAATTTTACCAACATGTTAAATAAATGCTTCCTAAAAGTCATGATTTTAAAGAAAATTAAAACATAAAAAAAATGTTCGTCACATTTGCTATATAAAAAAAGCAGGACATGAAACCACAGGTACAAGAGGATTTAAGTTCTGCTATTAAGAAAAATACACATATGGATTTAAAAAGACAAAATACCAAAAGTGATATTACAAATAATAGTTTTCTCTCCATGGAGGAATTATGGTTTGCTTCTTTCTGTTTTTAAAACTTTCTGCATAGTTAAACTTTCTACAGTAAGAAATTACTTTTATAATCATAAGAAATTAATGTATTAACCCAATGCCATATTTATAATCATCAGTTGAGCCTAAAGAATAAAATTCATAAATATCTCTGTCCTATGTCATTTAACAGTTTTGCCAAATTGTGTAAGTTCAATTGCATTTCCAAATCAATAAATTACTGGCATTTCTATTTGACTTTAGATGGTAGTTATGTAATTCAGATTTGCCAAATCCAACAGCATCTTTTCAACACCTGTTCTGCCTGCATAGGACCTCCCTTATTACTGAATGTGCACTCACTATCCTTTGGTTTTTAACAAATTTTTCCATTTTAGGAATCCAACTTATCAATTTGTTTATTGTTCTTGTTTCTGTAATCATAGCTAAGGAATTCTGCCTAATTCAAGTTCATAAAAATTTTCACCTATGTTTTTTCTCTGGAAGTTGCATTGTTGTACTAAGTTCAGTATTCAAGTCTAGATACATTTTTGTAATATGGTGCAAAGTAAGGATACAAGTTTATTTTTATTTATTATTTTTGAGATGGTAGTCTCACTATGTTGCCCAGGCTAGTCATGAACTCCTGAGCTCAAGTGATCTTCCCACTTGAGATTAATGGGTAGCTGGAGCTACAGGTACACCCAATTGTTCCACCATCATTTGTTGAAAAGGCTATCCTTTTTCCACATCACTGAACTAAATAATATTTGACGACATCGAGGCCTGGAGTTTTCTTTGTGACAAAGTTTCTAACAATTTCTATTTACTTAACAGATGAAAGAAAATTAAGGTTATGCATTCTCTCAGAATGAAATTTGATAAACTGTCCTTCAAGAAATCTGTCCATTTCATTTGTCCACTACTGAATTTATTTGCATGTAGCTGTTCATAATATTATCTTATTATCCTTTAATGCCTGTAGCCTCTATGGTGACATCATATTTCACATTCTTGATGTTGGTAATTTGTGTCTTTCCTCTTTTTCTTTTTCTGATCAGGCTGGCTAAGGTGAATTAATCTAACTGATGTTCTCAAAGAACAAGCTTTTATGTTTCCTGGACTTTCTCTATTGTTTTTATGCTTTCTCACTGAATTGTTTTATTCTCTACTATTTCCTTTCTTCTGCTTACTTGGGCTTAATGTGCTCTTGTTCTTCTAGTTTCCTGAGGTGGGAGGTAAAGTCACTGATTTGAGACCTTTCTTTTATAATCCAGATGTTTGGTGCTGTAAGTTTTCCTAAGTACTGGCAGTGGCATCCCCAAAATTCCGATATGCTGGGCTTTCATTTTCATTCCATTCAAAATACTTACAAATTGCTCTTTTGATTTATTCTCTAATTAATGAGCTGCTTAGAAGTGTTTATTTAGTTTCCAAATCTTTGAGGGCTTTCCAAGATTATTTTGTTATTAGTTTATCATTTAATTGGACTATATATGACCCGAATCCTTTTTGTATTATGGTTCAAAATATGGCCTTAATTTAAGTAAATGTTCCGTGAGCACTTAGAAAAATGTGTATTCTCTTATTATGGGTGAAGTGTTCCAAAACTGTCAATCAATTCAGGCTGGCTGATAAAATTGTTCAAGTCTACTACATACTCTCTGATTTTTGAAATAATTGTTCAATCAATCACTTAAAGAGGTGTGTTAAAGTCAACTATAATTGTGGGTTTGCCTATTTCTCCTCTTTCTATCAGCTTTTGCTTTGTATATTGTGAAGCTCTGTTTTAGATGCAGAAACATCTAGGACCATTAAAATCCTGTGGATTAACTGACGTTTTATTATTATGAAATGATCTACTTTATCCTTGGTAATATTCTTTGTTCTGAAATCTACTTTGTCTGACTTTAGTATAGTCATTCCAGCATCTCTTTTGCTAATATTAGCATGATGTATCATTTTCCACCTTTTTACTTTTACCCTACTTGTTTTTATATTTAAAGTACACTCCTGCAAGTAGCACAGAGTTAAGTCTTGCTTTTTTAAATTCAACCTGACAATTTCCGACTTTTTCTGACTCTGTCATCTTGTCATTTATTTTCTATTTGTCCCATTTGTTCTTTGATATTTTTCCTCTTTTTCATCCTTCCTACAGATTAATATACTCATTTTTATAATTCATTTTATCTCCCTTATAGATATATTAGCTACAACTCTTTTGTTATTTCAATAGTTGCTTTATGTTTGTAACATACATCTTATGATTCTCTACCTTCAAGTGATGACATACCACTTCACATATAAGAAACTTACAATAGTATACTTTCATTTCTTACTTCCCAGTCTTTGTTATTATTGTCATGAATTTTACATATGTTATAAATCACACAATATATTAATTTTGTTTAAACAGCCAATTTTCTCTTAAAGAGATTTAATTCATAGAAAAACAACTGTTATATTTATCCATGTACTTACCATTCTACTGATCTTTGTTCCCTTAGGTAGGTCCATATTTCCATCTGATATCACTTTTCTTCTGCCTGAAAGACATCCTTCAACATTTTTTGTAGTGTGGGTCTGCCCACTACAGAATTCTTCCCATTTTTCCTGATCTGAAAATGTCTTTATTTCACCTTGACTTTCAAAAGATGTTTTTGCTATCTATAGAACTGTAGGCTGACATGGCCTTTCCTTTTAATGCTTTCAAGCTGCTGCTCCACCATCTTCTCACTTGCATTATTTCCAACAAAAAAACTGATGTCTTCCTTACATTGGCTCCTCTGTACAAAGCATGCCTTTTTTCTCTTGCAATTTTAAAGATTTTATTATTGGCTTTAAATAATTACATGCTTTGGTATTGTTTTCTTTTTTTTTTTTGGAGTTGGAGTCTCATTCTGTTGCCCAGACTGGAGTGCAGTGGCCGCTCCCAGCCACCGCAGCCTCGACCTGCTGGGCTCCAGCGATCCTTCCACCTTAGCCTTCCAAGTAGCTGGAACTACAGGCGTGCGCTACCATGCCCGGTTAATTTTTGATTTATTGTAGAGATGAGGTCTCGCCAAGTTGCCCAGGTGGGTCTTAAATCCGTGGGCTCAGGCAATCCGCTTACCTCAGCCTCCCGAAGGTGCGGGATTACAGGCTGAGCCACCGAGCCCAGCTGGTATTGTTTTCATCATGGTTTTTGTGCTTGGGGATCGCTGGGCTTCTTGAATGTGAGTTTCTAGTTTTCATAAATTTAGAAAGTTGCCCATTATTTCTTCAATATTTTTTCTGTCTCCTTGTTTCCTCTTGCATATGTCTCGCAGCTTACTCTCATTTTGTCTTCATGTTCTTTTCATTGGGGATGGTAATGGACAGAAGATTATTTTTTCTTTCTGTTTCATTCTAAAGAGTTTCCATTCTTACGCCTTCAAGTTCACTAATTTTTTTTCCACAGTGTATAATCTCCATTAATCCCATTCAGTATAGTTTTCATCTCAGCCACTGTACTTTTTAACTCTGTTAAGTTTGATTTGGGACTTTAAAAAACTATCTTCCATATATATTTCTACTTAGCTTTTTAGACATATGGAATACAGTTATAACCGTTATATACAGTTTTAATGACCTTGTCTGCTAATTCTAATATCTATGCCAGTTACAGGTTGGTCTCAATTGATTTATTATTTTCCTTGTCATATATGTCATGTTTTCTCACTACTTTGCATACTGGTCACCTTTGACTAGATGTAAACATTATGAATCTTAACTTGTTGGGTCCCTGGGTATTTCTGGATTTCCATAAATCTTGGTGAGCTTTGTGGTGCTATTTGGAAACAGTTTAATCTCTTTGGGTCTTGCTTTTATGATTCATTAGGTGGGTCAGAGTTAGTGCTCATGGTAGGGCTAGTTATTCTCCACTTTTGAGGAAGATTTTGAGGAAGATCTTCCTGAGTACTCAACACATAGGACCATAAAACATGATTAAAAACATCTCTAACCTTGCTGGAGGGGTATGCACTGTCCCCAGCCCTTTAAGACTGTCAGGAATATGCCTCTCTTCCTATTGCCTCTGTTCTTTCACATGGTTCTTCTCTGTTCTCAGTTTCCTCACACACATGGATTCATTCATATTCTCTTAGTCAAGGAGCTCAGTGCAGACCTCTGAGCCGTTCTCTCTTCTCTGATGGTTTGTCCTTTAGTCATTGTGGTCTCCATCTTCTCCACGCCGAAAGTCTGCTGGACTCTACTTCAGTCCTCCCTCCCCATCCTATGGACTCACCCAGGGCATGAAGTTCGAGTAATTGTAGGGCTTACAACTGCTAGTTTGCCATCTTTCAGGGGTCACTGTCCTTTGTGGTCTCATCTCCAGTGTCTTGCAATCACTGTTTTGGGTATTTTGTCTTTTTCCAGTTGTTTCACATGGGACGGTCAATCCAGTTCCACAATTCCATGTTGACTGGAAGCAGCTGTTGGTCACCAAGTTTGTAATACAGTAAACTAATGTGTTTACCATTAAGACAGTAGTGCTAAGCAACAGGGAAACAGGTTTCCTCTTATAACTTTTATACAGTACTTAGGAGCATATTATCTATAACCTTAAGATCATCAACACCACATGTTCTCTGGCTTCTAGGTACCAGTTGTATAAGTTTCATTGAAAATAAAAAATATTTCTTCATTTAAACAGATTAAAATTGCAACAAAAAAGTTTTCAATGGGTTTAAGACAGTCAGTGTTTGGAGACCCTATTACCTTAAGTTTTATCTCAAGAGGACAAAATTGAAAATATTTTCCAACATGATAACCAGGTAAAAACTTCAATGGGTAGTTAGGGACACTTCAACTTAAAAACGCAATCTGTACATATTGTTAATAGCATGCTATATTCTCACCTATCAAACAGAGCCAAAAGTGTGAGTCTGTCAAAGTTAATACCAATCCAGAGTTGGGGCAGGATCCAAAAACGGTAATAGTGCTTAATTTTTTGCGTAGCTTCCTCTGTTGGACCATAAGGAGCTGCCAAGTCAGGGCTTAGGTCAATGTCCTGCTGCTCCAACAGGTCTGTGTCAATGGTCAATAGTCTATTCAGTCGAATCTGTGGGAGAGAGAGCTAAAAGAAAGTCAGCACTGAAAGACTTAAAAGATCTTCAATCAAATCAGTATTCAAGAGCTACTCAATCAGTGTGTCAGTTATCTAAGCTCCTTAATTCTCTATTCTAGTTCACTCCTTTGTGAGTATGTTATGATCATTAGGAACTCTAGATGGTGACAATAGGAAGTGAAGTAAAACAAAGTAAATTAAGCAACAGACCTTTTGGAAAGGTTTTATTAGGAAAGTGTTTGAAATCTTAAGATTTTATAACAGAAAGCTAGTGAGTCCATGAAAACCACTTACAGTGAATTATTAGTGGCATCTCCTCTCCCTATCACATTTATGTGCTTTTCTTATTAAGCTATGGACTCATTATGTGTGTCAAACCTGAGCTCTGCCGCCCTGAATCCAGTATCTCCAATTCTCATTTCTTCCCACAGTCTCTTATCACTATTGCATTGTTTTCAAGTCCTCTCCTCTTTTTTTTGTTTTTGGCCAGGCTGCTCACCTGAGACTATACAAGAAATTACTACACTCCACTTATTTTACTTTTTTTTTTTTTTTTTTTGGAGTTGGAGTCTCACTCTGTTGCCCCCTCTGGA